AGCCCATCATGTGTGAGGTACCCGGTTGGCATCTGGGCGCCGACCATGTGGTACCGCTGATAAGCGACCTCGCCGTCTTCAGTCTTCTCAAAAATGTTTATTTATCGCTGTGTCCCACGCTACCGGGTTTGGGTTTTGCGTCGTGGCTTCTTGCTCTACACCCAGGTCCAACTTCACAGCCGCCCAAAGCGTGATGGCGAACGACGAGAAGAACGACTCGCCGGTCTCTCCCATTGACATTGGGAGGGACCAGGGCGTCTTGACAGACGAGAAACTTGCTGCTGTAAGTTCCAATGGCAAGAAACAGCACGGATTGAGTTGACCAGCTTGTGAAGGGCGCACATACCGAAGAGCTCCACCGTCTCAATTCCGAGGAAGAAGCCTTTGAATCGTGAGTTTCTCAACAAACGCCTTGATCATCCCCGTGACTAGCTAGAGCTGACGAATCCTCAAGGCACCTCAATGTCACAGAAGACGATCTAATTGAGGCCAAGGCCGTTGCTGCCACCCTCTCCTTGGAGGGAGTGCGCAAGGTATGTCTAGACACGGCCTCAATAGCACGAAGAAGTCTTTAACACAGGACAAGATGATGGAGACTGTCCTGAGAATCCATAACCGAGACCCGAACTTTCCTCACAGTGTTCTCATGAAAATTCACGAATTCCTTGGTGAGTAAAGCACGCGCAACGATGGCGACTTTCGGCGCGAGTTGGACTGACGCGGCGGCAGACAACCAGGACGTCTTCGAGAGACCCGAGAAGCACGAGCAACTGATTTGGGAGATGAAGCTCGAAGCTGCTTTGATCACGAATAACAGCCCCTACGCTGAGGTGCGAGCCGTCGTTGACAACAAGGACGACCCTTCCCTTCCGTGCGGAACGATCCGAGCGTGGACCATTGGCGTCTTCTTCTCGGTCTTCCTGGCCTTCATCAACCAGGTAGGTTGCCGCTCCGCCAGTCCGCACCACAATACTAACGACAGGAACAGCTATTTAGTATCCGCCAGCCCCTCATCAGTATCGAATCCAACGTTGCCCAACTTCTCGCATTTCCCCTCGGTAAGGCATGGGAGAAGTTCATGCCGAACACTATCTTCAACGTCTTTGGTTACAAGATCCCCCTTAACCCAGGCCGATTTAACAAGAAGGAGCACATGCTTATTGCCATTATGGCCAACACTGCCAAGAGTCTGCCGTACACCCAGTACATTGTCTGGACTCAGGTCTTGCCCCAGTATTTCAACCAGCCGTACGCCAAGAGCTTTGCCTACCAGATCCTGATTGCGCTCTCTACCAACTTCATCGGCTATGGTCTCGCTGGTGAGTGATGTACGGCGTGATTTTGATGGAAATTTGATGCTAACAGTAGAGCAGGCCTCACCCGTCGGTTCATCGTGTACCCTTCGTACTGCGTGTGGCCGGCGTCTCTCGTCACCATCGCTCTCAACTCGGCGCTCCACAACGAAAACAATATTGCGGTCCCGGGACCATTCAAGAGACTGTACTCGATGACTCGATACAAGTTCTTTCTGTGGTCCTTTGCCGCAATGTTTGTGTACTTCTGGTTCCCCAACTACATCTTTGAAGTCCTCACCTTCTTCAGCTGGATGACTTGGATCTCGCCCGACAACCACAACTTGGAGATTTTGACAGGTTTCCGCAATGGCTTGGGAATGTTCAACCCCTGGCCTACCTTTGACTGGAACGTCATGTGAGTGGACTCTTCTCGGCTCACCATGCACTACTTCTTACCCAAATGGACTTCTCGCTGACTTGAGTCCCTCGGCATAGGCTTTTCGATAGTGTCGATCCCTTGGTAAGTGCTATCTTGCGCTCTCATGACGTCTTACTCCGGGCTTCGCTGATCTTGAATAGATGGTCCCTGCCTTTTCCACTTTCAATCGTACCCTCGGCATGTGGCTGCTTGGATTCGTGATTATGGGTCTCTACTACACGAACGCCTGGAACACCGCTTACCTCCCGATCAACTCAAACCGTGTCTTTGACCATTTCGGAAACCTCTACAACGTCTCGCGCGCTCTCGATGACCGCGGCATGTATGACCACGAGAAGTACATGAACTACTCAGCTGCCTACCTCGCAGCCGCCAACACCTTGGTCTATGGCGCGTTCTTTGCCTTATACGCTGCTGCTGTCACCCATGTTGCGATTTTCCACCGCTACGAGATCGTGATGGGCTTCAAGAATATGTGGGCGAGCATCCGCCGCCAGAAGAAGACCGTTGCCGAGGGCGAGGACTCTGGCGAGTACAAGGATGTCCACAACCGTCTCATGGCTGCATACCCCGAAGGCAAGTGCTTCCCACAGCGATTGGATGCGGCAAACACTGACTATTTCTCTAGTTTCCGAGTGGTGGTACCTTGGCACGCTCATCGTCGCTGCGGGCTTCGGTTTTGCGGGTGTTGCGGCGTGGCCTACCTATACTACGCCAGGCGTTGTTCCCTACGGTATCTTCTTAGCTGTTATCTTCGTCATTCCTATCGGAATCATCAAGGCCATGACAGGTATTGAGGTTACCCTCAATGTTCTGGCTGAGTTCATTGGTGGTATGTGGGTACAGGGCAATGCTCTGGCCATGAACTTCTTCAAGTCTTTCGGGTAAGTCCTCAAAGCCTCTCGCTCCTTTTGTTTACGCCTGATTCTAATAGCGTTTAATTAGTTACGTGACATGCGCCCATGCCGTCCACTTCGCCAACGACTTGAAGGTGGCTCACTACCTTAAGATCCCTCCCCGTCAGACCTTTGCCTGCCAGATGGTCGCCACTCTCATCTCCACGTTCGTCTGCACCGGTGTCATGAACTTCCAGATCAATATCCCCAATGTCTGCACTCCCGACGCGCCTATGCGTTTCTTCTGCCCCGGTCCCAACACCTTCTTCACCGCTGCCGTGCTCTGGGGTACCATCGGACCCATCAAAGTCTTCGGTCACCAGGGACAGTACAACTACCTCCTGCTCGGATTCCCCTTGGGCATTATTCTGCCGGTCCTGTTCTACTACCTGATCAAGTTCTACCCCAAGAACCGCTATCTCCGCCAGTTCCACCCTGTTGCTCTCTTCTACGGAGGCATTAACTGGGCTCCGTACAGCTTCTCCTACGCCTGGCCCGCCGTCCCCATCGCCTGGTTGTCCTGGATCTACGTCCGAACCCGTTACTTGGCCTTCTGGTCCAAGTATAACTTTGTCCTGTCGGCCTCTTTCTCCGCCGGCATTGCACTTTCGGGCATCCTCATGCTCTTCACTGTGCAGTGGCTCGGCGCGGAAGTCAACTGGTGGGGCACCTCTCAGATCGGCGCCGGCTGCGAGGGTTCCGCATGTACTCTCAAGTCCCTGGCCGAGGGCGAACGCTTCTACCCTTGGTGGAACCCCTCCCAGGTTCCCGCCCCCTAAGCTGCTTCATCGCTGCTTGTCCCACTGGGCGTTTACTGCTTCTGTTGGGCACGCAATGATGAGAGCCGCGGCGGGTCTCACGTCAGATCAATCCTTTGATTCACATACACTCGTTAATTAACGTCTAATCATGACTAAGACAGATATGAGAGAGAAAGAGATGGATGAGCCTGCGGGCTAATATGTAGCGTTGAGCTGGATTTTCTTGATATCCCTCTATGTTAAGCGCAGAGGATCCTTCCTCATAGAATAACACGATAATACCAATTATGGTTGCAATACCTAGGCTCGTCCCTCACGCCGGTGCATTGAGCACAACTGACTCAATACTGCATGTGACTGTGTCGCCGCTCACACTTGCACTCGTGCCGGTGATGGTATAGTTGGTGGCGGAGTTGTAATTCTGCGGCAAGCTAGTGCACCAACTTGAATCTGAACTGCCAGTGGAGGTCTAAAGGTTGTCAGTTGGGTTCCCTGATTGACGCTGGGATATAGTTGGGCATACAATTACAACGTTGTCGAATGCTAATGGACCAAAGTCCCACGAGACGTCATACCTAAAAGACATTAGTCGATAATCCGTTGTTTGACATCGGGTGAAACTTACAATTCAATGGCAAAGAGCGCTTGATTGAAAGATTTGTCGGCTGCACATCAAGTCAGTACTACACGGCCTCACCCATCATGCAATGGTGGCTTACCCAAAGCGAAGTCATTGGTAACAACCTGGCCTCCAGTTTGCCTCGTCACAGTGCTGGTCCACGCCGAATTGTCCGATTTCAGGATGTTCTGGAACAAAATCGTCTCCCCGCCATACGTGTTGAAGCCTCCGCCCCAAGGGAGACTCGGGTTGGAGCAGCACCACCCGGAGCCGAGCCACCATGTTCCGCTCCGGCCGTCGAGTACGTTTTGGTATACGCCGCTGTTATCGGTCGGTTGCAAGCCTGGCCAGAGGTAGTAAACGCCGGCGCGCGGTAGTGATGGGATTACCATCTCGCCCGAGAAAGAGGTGAACTTCTGACCTGAAGCGGGGTAGTAACGGAGGAAATACCAGGTCACCGCCGATACTGGGTTGGTCAAAAAGAGCAGAGGGAGGATGAAAATGGCGCGATGCATTTTGGCGGTGTGTTGTTGTTGGGACTAGATCTCTCAAGCAGAGGATGAAAGCCGCAATGTCCTTTACCAACTGAAACGAGATGGATTCACGTACCCGGATGCTGTACTCACCTAGGCCTTTTATGCCTAAAGATGACCAACTTATCTTGACATCTGCTGCAACCAGTCTCACAGGAAAATCGGGACGATGCCATGGGTGGTTGCAACGGCCGTGCCCCATAACCCATTTCAGGAAGTTGAACATATCTCGACCAGGATCAGCTACTCTTCATCCATCTGAAGTCACCCTACGTTATCAGCGATGTTTGGACGGATTTTGCCCCGCCAGTTCATTGATACTAGGATGCAACGTTTGAATGCATCCTGGCCCAAATTCAGAACCTAGTCTGCCTTCTGCCGTGCGGCAGTTGTCAACTCCCCTGCATCTCGCGATAAGAAGACTGCATGTGATAAATCCGCAAGCGGACTTTCATTGGGACGCTTAAGCCTTGACGATGACAAGGGTCCATTGTTGGAACGGGATGGAAGGAAGCTCAGATTAACCTAGGTAGAAGACAGTGTTTGACGAACCAGTCGTATCTCATTTACACCAATGCCATAACAAAGGGAAGAGTCGTAGTAGGATATGACATAATGGCAGCATAGTCCCTGAGTCTGCTCAAGATTCCCACTTCACATAAGGTGCGCCTTGGTGCCACCGCCGAATCGCCGAGTCGCTACCTTTCGTCCGCATCGCTGGCAGCTGTGAACGACGTCCTTGAAAGGCCTCATGGCATACGGAGCGAACACACCAACACCAGTGGTGAAGAACAGCATGACGGCCATCCAGCTACAGAAATAAAAGTATCAGTTCAAGACCTTCAAGTAATGATGAGAGACACGGCTTGAGGACGACGTACTGCGCTCCTTTGCCAATGGTATGGTCCGTTGTAGTGGGAGTGACGCCCTTGCAAGCAGGGCACTCGATCAAGGCCGGCCATCTCTCAACGAGGGCGACAGGCACGACGTTTGCCCGGGAGCCCTCACCAAGAGATTCTCCATGGTTGCAGTGGACGACGTGACAGTATTTGACATTAGGTCCGGCGATATCGTGGCTGCCGATGGCAGTTGACGCGGGAGTATGCATTGCTTGGTATTGAGGAACTGGAGATCGGATGCTGAAATCTTCGGGAGCGTTCGACATCGTTTCTGATGGTCCGCATTAGCCTAAGTCGTGGAAGCTGCCTTGAGATAATATATCTTACCAAATTCACTCTTGCTCATGCCTGGGATTACAAACAAAACGAGTGTTGTATTCGGTTGAGAATTGAATGAGATAATTGATGAAGAGTTATGATCAAGGGCCCGGGAACAAAGCATTCATATAGACATGGAACACACACTCGAATAACATGGAACCCAACCAACGGATAGCAACCCCGTTGACCAATAATCACGACAGCTGTGGGTTACTTCCCTGATGAAACACGGAATCTGCCATCTGTAGTCTACCAGACGTCAGTTGCATATCGCCGAATGCATCGCTGTAAGTCATTGTTAAGGCTCTACCAGCCATGTTGTCCGGCATTATCAACAGGATCCAATTACATCGTGGCAGAGACACTGTTGGCCAGCAAACCAGACCTGTGCCAAAAAGCTGCCTCATTCGTTGCTATGAGCCCGTTCCCCGTTTTGGCAGTCGAATCCTTCGGGGAAATGTAGCGCTCTAAATGCTGCTGCCTGGCCGTCTCAAAATAGCACCCAGAGCTCGTGTTCCCTCCCTGCCGATCGCCGAATCCGTCTTCAGTTCCACAGCCATACAGGAACTATGATTTAGTGGATTGAACCGGCTTGGATATCAATGAGGATTCAGAATTCCTGGGATATGGCTCTCCGCACTTCCAAAACCCTGGTTGGAGATGCTTTTGAGGGTCTGTGGTCCGTGGCCATGAGGCCTCGTGACAATGATCACTAGGCATTCTCCATTAGAGTGGTCCCTGATATACTCGAGGAAGCAAAGAGACGTACAAGCAGTGCTTGGGTTAAGAAAATTACTCTAAATGCTATATGATAGGGGTTCGACGAGACACAGTTTCTGCTAGTGGATGGATTTAGCCTTGTCATGACTTGAAAGAGGCTAGTCGCTAGTATTAGAATCAAAGTTAGAGTGACAGACCTAGCTCTATACTTTCTGGATTCATTCTTTTGTTGATGGGGAAAGCTGACGCGGCCTCTAATGGTCTGCAATGGCTCGTGGCCTCGGGCCCGGGGAAGCAGGCTGTGTTTTGGGCCTAGCCTAAAGCCATACACATGCTGCCAAGACGTATTTCCTCCTCGTATCAGTCGAGCATGGGAGTGGAACGCTCGTGCTGCCGTGGGGAATGATTTGAAATTACAAGCTGGAGCCAATGAAGTAAGTTGAAGACCGTGAAGCAAAAAATAATATCATTATTATAAGCTGAAGCTCTTCCCGAGTCCAGCTCAATCCTTATAGAACATAGATTCGTTAGGGCGACATGTGTATCTCGTTGTCCGCAGCTTTTCATTCAACATGGTATCATCAATCATTGGAGTGAAGGTATGGCTCAATATCTGTTGCGAGATGAAGAGTTAAGAGAATGGTAATCAAGATGATTGAGCACCCTTGCTTGTCCATATATCTTGCCCCTCAGATCGATTCATTGCTGACAACAGCGAAAACTCAGTCGAATGCTAAAGCAAGATGTAATGATCCGGAACCAAGTACATTCGTTGGAGAAATTGTATCGAAAATTGTGATTGAAATGAAAGTAATATCGTACAGCACATCGGCCCTTTGAACTAGAGAGGTCCGCCACCGTCCTGCAACACTTCGTTCCACCACTCATCATGTCCCTCAGACTTACACAGACTGTCCCAATCTGATTCTGCCAATCCTTGTTCTTTGAGATCCTGTTTCTTGAAGATGCGGGGCTTCCTCTTCTGAGCATCTGATGCCGGTGCTGTGTAAACCAAGTCTTCCACTCCATTGCGACCCGGAACTCTGAACAGCGGCTCCAGGGCCTCTCGTGGTTTTGAGTGTAGCTCTAATAAACTTCGGAGATAAGGAAAGAACCAGTTGTTCTTCCACCAATCGCGCAGTCTCTGGCCTTTTAAGCCATTACGATGGGCATTATGGTGTACCACAACTGGCACTGAAGTACTCCAGAAATCGGTATAAAGCGGAAGATCTTGCCATCCCATGTTCTTGTCGATGGCAGTCTCTTGGATAGGACTGCGTAAACCAAGCATGTCTTCTGGAATGCCAGCTACCCTTGGTGGATCAATGCCTCTATCGGCCGCGGCTTGTCGGAGTCCAGGACCATCCGACGACACAACGTATAGCCCATCATCTTCTTCGAAAACGGTAGGGGTGAAAAGATCTTGGACATAGTCTAGACCGACACTGAAGTCATTTTGCTGAAGTTCCTGAGCAGCCTTTTTAGGCTGATCGGCTTGGAGTTTCACCCATTCATCGTGGTTTTGTCGCTTAGAAGCCCGCCAAATCTCTTGCTCGCCGAAGATCTCCGCAAAAATACCTTGGTCGCTGAATATACCTGCGCCAGCAGACTGCTTTTCGTCGACTTTCTCTTGGGCACGACGGAACATACGCTTCATATCTCCGACGGGGCCCATAAGACTGCCGCTGTTGACATACCGTGGGCGGAGGTCGTGCATTTGCTTAGGACCTTCGTCCGTATGGGGCCCGTACATGTCCTCCCGTGCACTAGACTCGGGAACATCGTCGCAGTGGGGATCAGAGCCAAGACTAGCATCGGGCCAGCATTTCTTCTGGGTCGAGATGATGATAGACTGCCGCGGTACGAGATTGTTCCCTGAGTCTGACGAGAACCAAGAAGGGCTTCCTGTCCACTCCTTTCGAATGCGTTCGTCTGCAGCGTAATTCTGCGCCATGTATCGTCGAATGAGGATGGATGGCGGGAGCTGAAACCAGACATCGTAGGCGTCGACGAGGAGAACGAGATCGTCTGGTCCAAGGCGTTCGTCGTCTGGGGCTTCTTCAGAAGTGATTGAATCAAGGAACTCGAGAGTACCATCGATCTTGCCCAGATGAGAGCCTCCAAACCAGCCCGGAGACTTTTGAAAGTCGCGGCCCCAGTTCACAATGACCGAGCTGGGATAACCGGATGCAATACCCGACATAAGCATCTTGCATAATTCTGGAGATGGACCATCGGCCGGCACGACGATTCTGAGACGTCGCTGACCACCTTTTTCCACAGGGGGCAATGACGATAGTGCGTTTCTGTTCGAATCGGGTATGTATTGTGTGATATCTGTGTGGCTCTGAATGTGTTAGGGCTGGTGCTGGCACTTGGTGAGGCAGAGGGATACTAACAACGGCAAATAGTAGTCCAGAGAAAAGAATGACAGGAACAATAAGCTTTACCAAAGCCTTAGGGGACATCCTATGGAGTATATGTGAGGAGGTTTGTTTATCGTATGACCTAGGGGATCGTAATGCTTCAGCATCAACCTCGGCGTTAAGCTTTCTGTAGGTCTGGGTGCGCGGCGTCCTCGTCCACGCCATGATGCCAGATGCTACGTCCTTGAGGACTGGCATTTCGGAATACTTCTTGCTGAGTAAAGAATGTTAGGAATAACCAACAGTCCAATCAAGTGTAAAGAGAGTGTGTAAAGAGTCCGCGCCAATAATAACGCAACTGGACTGAACGCTTGATGGGAAGAAATGAAGGAGAGGGCCTCTTTATCGAACCAGTCAACCCGCGTTGCGATCAGTCTGATATGACATTGATACGGTAAGTATGCAAGACGTCAGGCAAAGTGAAATACATCTCATTCACAGATACTCCTTGCTGAATTGCTGACTCCCTAGAAAGCTGAGGTGACGTGGCGTTTGCCCTGCGATCAGGCTTAAAACAAGTCAAGCCGAGGCGGTAAGAAGCCGAAATTGTGTGGCCGATTCGCCTTCTCATAGGACAAAATGGTGTGCCAAGGGGCTCTGGCTCGCCTTGGAGAGACTTTTTGTATGATATTGAAGAAATGAGATGGGTCATCGACGATAAGGCACGCCGCACAATGACCGGAAGAGGCCGTTACACCCCGACCTTGGGATGCCGTGGCGGCTGACGGCAGCTCGCAACTTGGCAGAGACACTTGGCTTTGGGGTTATCTTAGAGCTTAAGACGGTTTGATCAACTTGTTTTTCATGCTATCTCAGATGACTACTGCATATTATGCAGTGATACATGATCGTAGAATGAATCGTCTAGTAGATATTGAGGGCTTTGCGTCGCAAGTTTCGCAAGAAGCGCAACTCGAGAGCAAAATGCGAATATGTACTGATCAGAAGTCAAGTGATCTCCACGGCTTGGCTCGTACCCGGGCACACACTTAAGCAAGTCTGCGGCGCGGGACGTATATAAAATAACAGCCACGTCTTGGCTTCAATTCCCATCTAAGATTCCGGACCCTTGCCTGATGGAACGCTGGTAGACCAGCTCAACTCAGGTCCCCGATGATGGTGCGATATTGTCTCGGCACCTCTCAGGCACCTTTCATTTTCCGAAGCGAGCACATATAACTCCGGATAATTCCCATCGTTAGATGTGGTAAACTCGTGCAGCATAGGTCTGCTCCAGTCTGCTGGACGAAATCTACCAATCTCAAGACCAGTTGGCCGTCGGGTCATTACCAGCCTGGCCTTGTCCAAACCCAAAACCGTACGTCTCCGGTTGCAAAGGTTGAGATCCGAGTGGGCTACCAGGCTTGCCACTCTCAAAGGGAGTACCAAGAAGTTGCGCAAGCCTCATTGTGAGATTTTGATCTCGGTTGGGCAAATTTCCCATCAGTCCTTGGACAAGATACATCGGATGTGTTGCCGTGCCGAGCAATGATTGCAAAACCTGAGTATCAAAAGAAAAGAAACGTTAGTCTGTAGTCGTGGCTTCAAAGCTCGCACTTCAGCTCATGTCTCACCTGTGCATCTTCACTGAGACTAAAACCCGGTATGAGTGGCACACCGCCGCCGTTGTTGCCGACCAAATTCTGGGCGCGCATTATATTCTGGGCATCATCGACGGCATATTGCGCCGTCCGTTGCATCATGGCGCACGCCGTCAATACACGCTTCAAGTCGCAACCTTCAGACTTTTCGAACTTTTGAAGGAAATGGGCGAAATTTCTCGTTGCTGCTAAGTCCCCTCGAGCACGAGCAGAGCCTGGAGTCTCGAGCACATCCGTCAAAAGAGTAATGCTTGCGCAAAGGGGGTAACACAAGATTCGCCTGCAAATGTGAGTCGAGTGTCTCAGACCGAGGGTGACAGCTTCGTGCGCGGAGACTTACCATAGGTCTGCATATTGCGGCGTTGAAATGGTCCTAAATAGTCCCAAGGTCGCGTGCGCCGCCATGCGGCATCGCTTCTGCGAAAAGGACAGCTGAATGTAGGGCATTTCGAAACCAGCGGGCGTTCCCATGAGGACAGCTACAGTCGAGTATTGGTCATGCCGTCTCGCCGCCCAGTGCACCATCATCGTGCACCTATAGAATGCCAACTGCAGATTCAGAATATCCGGTGCAATGTCTGACCCCGATGCAGGGGCTTCATATGATGGTTGGAGGTTTGCGGGCATACTTGACCTCCACTCCTCAAGAAGAGCATCTAAATCGATGATGGCCTTAACCAGATCAGCGTCGGTAAGGCGGAGTCCTTTCGCCGTGTACAATCGTCTTCGGATTGAAGACTCTACCATCGCAAGCTTCGCTCTGAGGTTTAATATGTCAACACCTTCTCCCCAACCGCTGGGCAGTTCGGTTTCAATGTCGTCATCATCTTGTATCGAATCCAGGCCATGGTTGAGACCCGTTTCTTTATCCAGTATGTAGGCCGCCCAGAACACCCGACTCCGTGCTTCAACATCCTGAGCACACATGGACATCATTGTACAAGGCTGCCGATGTAGCCCGATGTTTTGAGACAGTCTTACTGCCGCAGAAGATAGCATAGTCGCAGTTCTGGTGCATGTAGTTCCTTGCATGAAAACCGCCATGGCGACAATGGCCTGTACAGAGAGCAAGTCGCCACCCTTCACCATCAGCTCTGTCAGGACAGAAAATGCATTTTTGAAGAAAGGCCAGGCAAGTTGGCAAACTTCCTGGAACGCACTGTTGATGGTTTTCCACCGCGTCCCCACAGAGATGACGGCGTTCATGTATGCCCATCCCGACGTACTATTGAAAGTATCATCCGCTTCCGGTAATGTTTCGAAGTGACGCACAAAGTAATGAAAGTTCAAAAGCGGGTAATTGCTGATGACGTCGTCGTAGAGAGGCATCAAAATAGTGATGGCCTCCTCCCTTTCGAGTCGAGGAGTGAAGACTTGTCTGTTGAATGTAGAGCAGTAAGAGGCGGAATTGACCTCTCTCATACGGCTTGCAATTACGGCAAAAACTGGCATCTTCCCCGAAAGTTGTGACGGCGGTTCGGGGATCTCCCGAGGCTGAGGAACGGGTGTCTGGCTACTTCTTGAATTAGGCGCCGACGATACGGCTTCATCGCCCATTGGGTGATCTGACGGAACATGACTGGCTGCAGCTTGTGCGGCATCCAGTCGGTGACTCGGTATAGGAACTGTGCTGTTTGGTATGGCCGGGCCTGCAAACACGGAAACGGACGCAGCGTCAGTTTCTGACGGTGATATTCTTGTCGGCGGTGCCCCTGGTCTTGGAAGCCCAGCTTGATTGAGTACGGCTTCCATTTTTGATAGCCGTTCTTCTAAAGCTTGGATGTACATTTTGCTAAAAGATTCAAGTTAATTCCTAGATTCAGTCGAGACAGGCGAGAGCCATGTAAGTGAGCAGGGTATTATGAGATGATCGCACCTTCGACCAGGCCCACGGCGCCTCTGTACCTGCTGGTACACGCACTCCTGACTGCGATTGACGCAAGGTGTACATGATGGAGTCCTTCCATCGCACTTGATCTTCTTCGATTGGCATCGGAGACAGGCCTTTGTTTCTACGCGTAAGTATTCATTGTTGAACGTCCTCACTTCTCTGGGTTTCACAAACCTTCGCAATGCGAGAAGCTTTGTCTTGGGTCCGCCCGCTCTGGACGGACTCAGTATCCATAGCGTCCATGGCAAAGCATGTATGTTGGTGTGCCACACCCGGTGCGCGGAGGTGTGGGGATGCCGGAACGCCAACACCCCGGACGGTTCAGTTGAGAATCGGACGGCTGTTTCGGGAATGAATCCGGACTGAGCGGCCCACTCGGCCGGGCGGCGCGTTGCGATATGCTAATGACACCTCGGCCCCGAATAGCAGCCGGCAGTCCGCAAAAAAGAAATAGATTGAGAATCCGACCAAGACTCCGGGATCGAATCGGACAAAATTCAGGAAAACTTTCACTGTAGATGAGAGAGGAAGAGGAAGTAGTTTCATGATTGGCCCGGCCACGTAATTTCCGGAAGTAAAATGCATCCGTGCTAGAGGGTTAGGTAAGGAGGCTGCACAGGTCCGACTCAGTCAAACCACCGCAAAGGGAACTTCCCGCAAGTAATCTATTCCGTATGGGGACACAACCGCTTTGGGCACTCTGGAGTCTGCCCACTAGACTTATGGATCCTTCAATGGCTTCACGGAAGCAAATTATTACCGAGATATCTGGATGGGATAATTACCGTACAGAGTACGAAGTATGAATACATACTTGATTCCGCCAAGTCCATGATAAAGTGACAACCGTGTTGATTAAATCCGCCTTTACGGATACAAAGCCCAAGAACCTTATTTGCTTCCGCCGCCAAGATAATGAGGGGATATGAATACACCACTACAAACTCCGCTAACTAGCAGCGGAGTATCGATTGTACTGCAAATGTATGCTCGTAGAACAAATGGTGGACCTGTATAAGAACCAGTCTGGTGCCACCACGGCCAGTAGTCGTAGAACAATTAAAAAACAGCAACTCTATCTTAACTCACTCGCACGATTACTGTGAAATATTCCATCTAGTCTTGTGTTCAGAAAGCACCACACGCAAAATGGCAGTCATTGCAGTTGCCGGAGGCACCGGAAACGTGGGCCGAACTTTGGTCGAGGCAATCGTAGCCACTGGCAAGCATGAGGTCAAGATTCTCGCAAGAAAGGTAGGGCCCGATATAGAGAGATCGTCATTCTACTAGAACCGGTACCAATTCGTTTCTTTAGGCAAATCCCGAGTTGGAGAAGAAACTCGGAGCCTCGATCGTCGTGGTTGACTACACCGATGTAGGAGCTACAACCAAGATTTTGGAAGAGCACAATGTCCATACAGTCATTTCAGCCATCAACATGATGCCGCCACCAGGAGAAACTCCCCTTGAGTTCGAGCTGATTCGCGCCGCCGACGCATCAGCGTCTACCAAGAGAATGATCTCTAGCGGATGGGGCATCCCGCACACCGAGAGGTTAGTTTATAGCAAACGTGGACGATATCCAGATTTTCAGAATTGCACCCTGATGCTGACAATCAATGAAGTCAAAGCAGTCAACTGGGTTCTGTGCCCAACAAACTTCGCGCAGCCGCTCTGTTGAAAGAGACGAAAGATCTCGAGTACACCGTCGTCCACAACGGCTTCTTTCTTGACTACTGGGCGACACCTGCTGTTCCCTCGTACATGACCCCTTTTACCCTCTTCATCGATATTCCAGGCAATGCCGCAGCAATTCCTGGCTCAGGAAACACGCCTTCAGCTTTCACGCACACCAAAGATGTGGGGAAGTTTGTAGCTGCTGCGCTAGACCTGGGCAAGTGGGAGCCTGACACTTTCATCGTGGGCGACAAAGTTACTTTCAATGAGTTCGTTCAGCTTGCAGAAGCTGCTAAGGGTAATTTACTACTGAATCCACAACTCAAGACATGGTTCCGCCTGACTGACCATATCAGGCACCAAGTTCAACGTTGCATATGACAGCGTTGAGAAACTGAAGACTGGCCAGGCGACAGAACTTCCCAGCCAAGTGCCTGCATATGCATTTTTCCCTAAAGAAGCATATCAGGGCATGGCCGCGGTGTTTGGTCTCTGGTTTGAGAATGGAAACTTCGATATCCCCCCTGCTGGAAAGAAAACACTCAACCAGATCTTCCCTGACATCAAGGCTTGGACGGTGAAGGATATCCTGGACACGGCTTGGAAGCAATAAGCTGACACAGAGTCATGGTACGATATCAGTGAACAGGGACCTGTAAATGCTAAACTCAAATGAGGTTTTACCTACCTTACTTGAGAAAGTTCGAGAGCTGGAATCTTGAAATGTGTCTCATTCTGAAAGAAGCTGAAACTATCTCACGAAAATATAAATCATCAAATCTAAAGATATGAAGCCCTGTGAAGGCTCTAATAACACCCAATAAATAAAGATGGCTTGAAGTTGTTTAGACCGACCCCTGAATGGGGCGTCTGTATTTGCATGTCTCTTCAAATCTTTTCGATAGAATATTACATCTTGACCCTAGGAATTCCAATCCATATTGAGTCGCAGGTGACCAGTTCCATACCATCCGCGTCTTTGAGAACAGCTTTTAGCATGATCTTTTTCCCACGGATTTCCATGATTTGCCCGGTTCCTAGCACAACACTAGGCGTTTTGATGGGTTTGAGGTATTTGATGTTCATCGAAGAGGTGACTGTGTTCATCTTGAAGATTGGGTCGTCCCTCTCCGTGTCCATGTTTCTCTGAATCAAGACGCCAAGGACCTCGTCGATCAAAACTGCAGTCATGCCACCGTGCGCGATGTTGGGATAGCCATCAACCCCTCTTGAAAGCGCGAATAGGGACGAGAGTTCAGTGATGACAGATCGACCGGGGGCCTCGGTGTGAAAGCTGATGCAAGCTGGTATACCGGTCAAGTTATTGAGTGTTTTACCGAAGAATCTGTCGTGTGGGTTGGTGTTTTCTGGTATCCGGGATGGCGGAATAAAAGTTACAACTGTCGGGGTTTTGAGGAGTGCACGACACCAAGGGAGGGCCTCTAGTTCAGCGACCGTCTCTGGTAAGTTCCCGTCATTCTGAACTCGATTCATGATGAATCAAAGCTCCTGTTGTAGAGTAGTAAATGCACAGGCGTTGCTGTTGTGTATTGAATGCGAGATTGGCGATGAGCTGCTACATAGAGGTCCTAAGGTGGCTACCAAACAAGCGAGTTGGACCTCGGCAAGAATTCCGCAGCGCTTTCAGCGTGCATGTTTCACGTGAGTAAACAGTGCATCAAGCCTCATAATAGGTGCCAATCGTTTACCGATGAGCCATATGCATGAGTACTTGAACCAATGTTGAATTGACACTCAATCACATTAATCAGAAGTTTCTAGTACCTGCCGTCTTATTTCATAAGGAATGAATTGTGGATTTATTCCCTCATGCTGAATAGCGTCAGTACATTGACCTTCAGTTTTCCCTAACGCTGGTCCCTTTTGGAGTTTTCCAATTAGGCGCATCGAAAAGAATTAGAAAGGTAACAGTACAGATTACAAGGAACAATTCAAAACTTGCTATTACTCAAAGTAGCGGCTGACGCTGTTCAGCACCCGATGGGATACGTTGCGCACTTCTGGTCGACAACCTTGGGCTGAAGTTATCGAATCACGGAGTAGCAATTCTCTATTCGGAGACATCACAGACTTGAATATCAAGTTGTTGCGATTTGAAAAGTTCTGAAATTACTTGAGAAGTCATCAACTAGAATGTTACTGCATTGTTATGCGAACTCTACAGTTCTCTTCCTAGTGTGGATACAATCGCTTTCAGTTCCTCTCAAGCTGTCGGGGCAGGAACCACAGCCAAGGTAACCTCGTAGCAAGGACGGTCTGCTCTGATGACTTGATTAAGATATTCAGTTAGCTTCGAGATCGTAGAAAAAGGTTTGGTATGATGAGAATCATAGATCGAGGGATGGAAAAATCAGAAGCTCACCAGTGTTACCGGGAGGAGAGTATCTGGCCTCGTGCCTTTCACCGGAAGCACTTCTGAAGCAGATAAAACCACCTGGCACAGCGGCTCTGGAAACAAAGTCCAACTCGACCTGGACAGCATCCGTGTCTGGGTTGCATCCATACACCGGCTGGAAGAAGGCCTTGGGATCTCCGCGTTCCGTCATGAACATCTTGGTCGTGTTGTCGTCTGCGGTGTACTACAAAGTGTCAATAAAACGCCAACGCCAAACTGCTATCGATCAACTTACTTCTCCGTTAATGACGGCATGGATGATGCCCCTCGACAGCACGCCGTTGACTAGGGTCAAGTTGAAAGCAGAGTCTCCAGCTGGGCTCAAATAGAGATGCTGGTCACCACCGCCTGCTGACCACAAGTTGATGTAGCGATTGTGAATGATGGGCACTGAAGCGTTCTGAACCTGGATTCCGAAACCCTCGGTGATGTTGTTCGAGAGAGGTTCCGTCGGAGGGGTGCACGCTGATACGACAGCCGCAGCCGATAGCACAGTCTTGAGAATTGAGCCAAGCATCTTGTCGCTGAATTTGATCAAGCAAATGTCTAAAAAGTGAAGTCTACATGCAAACACCCGAATTACCCTCTACTTGGAGAGCGCGGAGGCTCGATATAATAAGCCTCGAGACTTATCGCACCCCAACTGTGCAAAGGCTGCCAAGACATAGACGAATACGAGATGCTGCATTGCTGTTGCATTGCGTCGCTGACAGGTCAGCCGTTGCAAGCTTAAATGATGTCGCGGTGATTAACATTCTGCAGCCAACAGGCGGCAGATGCCTCGATCGTCCCATGGCCAACTGGAAGATAGCACTCCAGCAGGCACAGCGGTCTTACCCCAGCATATCAGCCCTGTTGATGTTACGTCCCAGCCTGTGTTTCCTGCCAGATTGGGGCTTAGTGTAGCTGCAAGTAAGACCAGGGAAATGTTGGCGACCACTATCAGATGCGGCCCGGACAGGTACGCGTCTGACCTCTCTGCAATCTCACAAGATCAAGGGCATCCAATATGCATAGATAAGCACTATTGACTCTCCCACATGAACGCGCTGATGTGGTTCGTCCTACTTGACGCGACGAGATTCACGGAAAATTCAATTGAGTTTATTCATCCGCACCTCTTTCAATTTCGAAAGGTACTCAATCAAGGCCGGCCTTCGTTCGGGGTTTACTTAGTCGTCATTCTCTCACACACATCATGAGCGCTCAGCACTGTCTCTCACCGGCCCAACAACCCCTCATCAATGATGCAGTCAAAGCGAACGCCAATGATAGTATCTTGATCGATTGAGGAGGTTGAGACACACATCTTTCCCGGCTCCAAGGCTTCGTACTTGGTACTAGTCACCTGAACAACACGCGATGGGGTGATGTCAGTGTCTACCTAAGTGAGCTGCCTCTGCCTTGCTTTCAGGTCCCAGCTAAGGTAACCTGGAGAGGAAGGGCAACGTCTTTGAGTGGGCCCGGGAATAACAGCCAACAACACTACGTTCAAGGATACACGAGCGCCACTGTTGCACCACTGCCGACCGCCTTCGTCATTCTGTCGGCACTCTCGATTATTCCTCATATGATCATGTAGTGGGCGTTTCAATGAACTGTTAAGATCGCCTTTGAGGCTGAGGCATATTCACGTATAATCATGGAAAGATGAACAGTAGTTGGGTGTGGTATTCGCAGATACCAAGATCATGACGATTGATTCATTTCGCTAAAAAAAAGACTTCCGCTTGCTAATGCTGAACTGTTCCTGTAGTGTCCATCCTGCAAATTCCCGGCCGTAAAATGCTTCGACTTCACATTACGCAGAGTCATCGGTCTGCTTCTCAACGTAGTCGGCCTTTTGTGACGGCTTATCGCTCTCGAACTCCTGGGGCATAGCGATAGGTCGGTTCTTGGCGAACTTGACCGTGGCAAACACGGAAGGAGAGTCCTTAAAGAGCATTTCGATCTCCTCCAAGTTGCGGCCCATAGTCTCGGGGAAGAGAAAGTAGACGCTGATGGGAATGCAGGCCGAGATGACGGCGTAGACAATGTAGTATTGATAGCCGATCGTGTTGAGGGCAACGGGTGTGACCATGACGACAATGAAGTTCCTGGGCAGCCGTTAGTAAGAAGATATGATGGAAAACGAGAAATGTAGCTAGGACTTACCAGAGCCAGTGGTTGGCAGTAGAGATGGAAGACATGGCCATGCGGAGACGGATGGGCGCAATCTCTGTGCAGTACAGGAAGTTGGCACCCAAGAAGCCGATAGGCACGAAGGTGTTGAACAGGTAGATGAAGCAACCAGCGGCGATCTGGGCAGCGGTGTTGTCCTTGGGGAAGGATGTGGTGATGGCCAAGCAGGTCATGCAGGCAGCCATTCCGAAACCGCTGAAGATGAAGACGGCACGGCGACCAAACCGATCAATGGCGAAGAAGGCCAGGAATGACGAGAGGAACTTCCAGGTCAGGGCACCTCCAGCGAGGGCCTTGGACTGCTCGGGCTCCATGCCCAAGTTCTGCTGGAACAGGATGGGAGCGTAGACGGAAACGAGGTTGCTTCCCGACATCTGCTGGTAGAACTGGAGCAGGATGCAGAGTCCGAATCGGTAGGCGAGCTTGTCATCGCCCATCTTGAGCATGTCGGAGAGCTTAGCGGCGTTCTGCGTAGTCTCCTCGAGAGAGTGCTCAATACCAGCAACCTCGGCCTGGACTTCAAGGGAGTCCTCAGGCAGGCCGCGGAAAGCGGCGATGATGGAACGGGCCTCGGCGGAGCGAGCCTTCATGACGAGCCATCTGGGCGACTCGGGAAGGAAGTAGATGCTGCCCATCAGCATCAAGGAGAAGAGAATGGCAATCGCGATAGGAGGACGCCATGTGACGGGGCCAGTCTTGAACTCCCAGAAACCAAGGTTAATCCAGCTCTCCAAGACGTAACCGACGCAGGTGAAGAGACCAGTCAGGACGACCTGGCGACCACGGTTCTTGGCGCCGGAAGTCTCACTCTGCCACACGGGCACAATAGAACTGAGCTGACCAACTCCAAGACCAACGATGAGGCGACCGACGATAAGCTGTGCCAGGTGGAAGGAAGCACACTCGAGGATCTCTCCGATGAGAGTGCAGACACCGGCGAAGAAGATGACATTGCGTCGTCCGAAAGCGTTACCAGACCAGGAGCATGAGAGAGAGCCAAAGAGGGCACCAATAGTAAAAGTAGCAACGACGAAACCCTGGAGAGTTGAGTTGGCGTTCTTGGTCTCGCCGGTGGTGTTGACGGTATCGATCTGAGGGAAGGTCTTGACCCAGTCCTCAGTAGTGAGGAGGCCACCAAGGCCAGCCTGGTTGTATCCGAAGAGGATAAAGGCCGGGCAGACGACGAGAGCGATCTGGATAACGCTCAGGGCATTGCCCGTTTGGCCGAAGTAGTTTGCACCCATTATCTGGACTGATCTTTGTGGGCGCACGCACGGCTGTGATCCGAATTCTTCAGGTGACGGGTGAAGGTTCAGCCTGAGAGTATGTCCGCACGGTAGGAATGAGAACAGACAGTCGACGGGGGATGGGATAGAGAAGCCAGACTAAGGGCACACGACAGAGAGGCGAGGCGACCTCGTTCTTAAGGAATTTCATCTAGCGGACCGCGTTCATCTCAATGTGACTGTCCCTTGTGGGGAAAGGTCTGCGGAGACCCCGCGGGATTCTGACCGCAAAGGCAGATTCATAATCCAAACTCCAAACGAGCTTGCCTCTCCGTTGAGGTAAGGGTCAGCAATGTGGAGGGGCTGCGAGCAAAAGATGGAGAAAAGAAGGAGAGGGGAGATGGCCCTGGCGGGCCTGGGGAGTCTTGGAGAGGGCTCGACAAGGTATCGAGTGTACCATGGAGTAGGACGGAGTAACCCAGCCGCAGCGTAAGGTGAACCAAAGCTACGAAGTATTCGTACGGGCGACGGCGGGCCTTCCTGTGTCGTCAATGCCGACTACGCTCCGTTGTGCGTGGCCCGGTTGACTCGGCCAGGGCTAGGACGGAAGTCGACCGAGCCAGCCACACCCGTCCCGTTTCCTGGAGGGCGATAGCTTCATCACACCTCCCCCGTGGAGACGCTCAGACGAATTGTCGTTCCACCTATTCGCCGCCTTCGCTCATGACGACCCTCCCAGGTCCCGCCTTGCTGCTTAAATCCCTCCCACCATCCAGCAAGCAAGCTGCGGAACCGGTCTATGGTACATGGCGGCTAAGGGGGGCAGAAAAAGCCAAAGAAGCTTGGTCGTACGAGCCTAGATGCAGGCCTTAGAATACTACGGATGCAATGGATGGTTCTGTGTATGGATTGTGGGAAAAGGGTTCCACTCACAAACACACGGCGCTTCTGTTGAAGTGTCGTTGAACGGTTGAACCGTTGAAGATGATCCGCCCAGCACTGATAACGATGCCATGCAATGCGGCGAAAATTAAGCAACAGCAGCCAAGACGGCAGCATGCGATGCCAAGGCCCCAACGTAGGCCAAGAGTTGACCAAAAGGACCACTATCAGTGGATGTGCGAACCGAAAAGACCCCCACGTCACGAACGGCTTGCTGACTCGCGGCCTTTGAGAACACGGCGGGAACGGGGATAGTGACGACGGCGTAATACACGGCGTAACTTAGTAAGACGCGCTATGCCTTCTAGAAGGCGCGCAATAAGATAGCGGCATAAGGCCCGCGCCCGTTTCCTCTCCCTCCCCTTCGATCAGATCTCATGTGTGGAAAGGGGCCATTGGTGCAGTGTGGAATCTAGGAAGCATATAAGTCTCAGGACGGCCCTCGTGTTCCTGACCTCGCCGGCCGGACCCTGGCGGCTGACGGCACTCGCTACGAATGCGACGAGCCGATCGGCTTCGCTCTCCCTTTTCACGGCGAGCGTTGCCCAATGCAGGTGTATGACCACTAGCTGCGGCACTTGGGATTGGGTCCGTAACCTGCATGCGAGATTCGGTGATCCATCCGCGCTTCGGAGGTTTACCGAGTCCACATTGATCCTGCGGTTGCGGCTCTCGTGTGACTGTTTTGCCAATACTCATTGCAAACTCTTTACGACCACGTTACTCAACAAGGAGCAGCCAAGAGTCTGAGAACTTGAAACGTTGAATTCTGTGAGTAAGTAATCAGTCTGATGTGACTGTAAACAATGTGTCAATTGCGAGCCATGGTTCCACCTTGTTCCGTGATGAATCTAGGCGTGTGTATCTGTAATGTGCGCAGCCGAAAGCAAAACTTCTCGCGGAATCCGTGACGTGCCCAGAAAGCTTCCTTCTTCCAACCTCCGACACTCCTGTTCGCGCAACCAAGTTACTCCAGCTTTTCCCCAGACGTCGACGTTTCGAAATACGCTTTCTTCACGGTGACAAGTCCGCAATGCGCGAGAACGCGGGGGACGAACCCTGGTCTGTGACGTTCAGGTCAGCCCAAAAACCACATTTTCGGACGGCGGTATTGGATCGTCCGGTCTTCTAGCGCAACTCACTTTCCGTCTAGTTTTCGTGATGCCCACTTGTCGACGGCCAGCAACGCGAGCACGATGGAGGCATAGAGAGGAATCCCCGCGGGGTAGTCTCCCTCCCACAAAGAAAGCGGGTGAGCCATGACCACGGTGGCCGTGAAGGTTTCCCCGTACGTTCTGAATCCCTGGAGATGCTTCCCGAACGTGGAGAGCCATCGGACCCAAGTGAAGTTGTTCAGCAGCTTGATGGACGCTCGGTGCCACTGCGCGTCACCATGCACGTACCCCAACGTGGAGGCGAGCGCTCGCTGCAAAGACGTTGCCTGGAATGTGGCTCTAATGAAGGGAATATTCCCCTCGCGGACATATCCAGCCAGATGGAAGCTTCCGGCCGAGAAAGCCAATCCTAGAACGAGGTCGATCAAGTTTGGCACGGGAGGTTCACCGGTGATGACGAGAGGGTAGTAGTACCGGGCCAGCTCGATGGTCCCGAGAATGACATGGACCATGAGAGGAATCCATGGCAGCGCCGTATACTTTGCATGAGTCGGCGTCGAAACCTTCCTCCAACTTGGGACTAGAAAACGCAGGTACGTGCTCGAAATCCAGAAGATTTCGAGAAAGACGTGGTGCTTCGCAAAGAGCAGCTCTGCCGCGTCCCAGCCGTCGTTAATGCGTGCCCAACTTGAACCCATCATTGTGGGTCGGAATCCAGTTCCCTGCAGGTTTCCTGCTGTGTCGTTGGGCGCCTCGAACGGGTTGAAGGCAGCACGAAATAAACTCGGAGACTTCATCCGGGCGGTGGCGTGGGGTTTCAAATAGTTCTGGGTACCTTTTCGCAAACTAGAAAACCCCAAAGTGCATTGACGGCGGCTTTATATTTCCTTCATCCCATCCTTGCTTTGTCTGGTGTTGAAGGATTTACTTGCTACTGGCTAAATCTACTTGATCACCGGCCATAGCCATACCTGAAGGCTAGGAGGCACTTTGGTTTGAACGCTCTAGAACGTGTGACACGTACAATTTGTCCCTCTCGAAGGATTGATTTAGTGCTGACGTTATCTGGCACGAGCTTCACGAAACCGCCATACAATAAAGTAGCTCGTAAATTGCAGACGGGAAAGATTCACGCTGGTTCGGCAGCGCGTCAGCAATGTCCGTGTCAACTTTACGCCATCTACCTCATCCCAGTCGCTAGGCGTGCCAGGACTGCGTCGCCAAGATCGCCCAGAGATCGGCGCCGTATGCCAAGGTCGGGGTCGCTCGGTTCGAAAGGCAGCCTTTCCAGAAGCGGCAACAACTCGTAACTCCAAGATGCAATGCTTCAGCTAACGACGCACTGTCATCAGCGGCCGCGCGGAGGCTGCAGCTCACCCAACATGATCATCTCCCAGAATAATTCGGAAGAATTCGGCTTGAGGTCAAACCTCGCTCAACATCTTATAGCCGCAACTATCAAGCGACAGGTTGGAATTCAAGAACCATTGCCGGGTCTAACCCAGTTGAAACGCAAAAAGTACCGGAGTTTACAGAGGAACTTATTGATTGACTACCACCGATAAGACGAACCTTCTTTCAGATATTCCGGAATGATGGCAGGACAGAACTCAATTGTAAACAACGTTACAGCTCGCCTTGAGTACTGGACGACCCAAATTGCGCTAGAGTGATATTTCCCTACTCAAAGCCTGGTCGTGTGGTAAAATTCCGAGCAGCTCATCATCCACTGAGAAAAAAAGATGATTGCAATGCCTGGATTTCGACAGTGTCACGTCCTGTGGCTACTGTAGACTCATGCATCAAAAGGTGTTCTTTCGGAGCTAAGCTATGAGTGCCCAATTCCGCTGATCATGGATGGAAATGGAAATACACAACGAATAGATGAGGTGTTAAAAGATGATCACTATGCGTGAACGGCAAGAATCACGATTAGGTCTTGAACAAGACCTTGAGGAAGGCTGACTATATGAACCGATTGTAAATTATCCAACATCGTCTTGTGGACCACTTGACTATGTGGCATTAAAGATCATTACTGCATCTCTAGCAGTGCCATGATTACGGCTGCCAAAATCATTTTGCATGATGTCCTGACTACTCACACCTCAAGCCACAGGTATTGAAGTATGTGTGAAGACGGTTTTCAACATTGGTTATTGAGCGACGGGATCTGAGACAGGCGCAAAACGTCATATTGATTTCGTCACAAAATAAAATATAAAATTCGCTTGCAGAGTCAACGCTGGCTCGCTTGCTGTATGGAGAACAAATATTATATCAATATGCCTTCCCTTTGACTCCCACTAGAAAGAACCTCCAGCCCAGGGGTATTTCCTTTGCAAGAGACGATCCCGGACCCAAGCCCCCGAATCCAACGCCGATATCTACATCTACCACGCACACTTTGCAACGATGCCCGTAGGCCACTTTCGCACAGCAAACTTTCTCGCCTCGTCAATGAGAAGAATACCCAGACCAAAAGTCATCGGCAAGAACCAGTACTCGACGGGGACAGGGGCCGTGGCGAGCGTCGTCTGGAACTCGGGAACGTACAGCCAGAAGATGGCCATCAGGAGCGCAAAGACGATGGCGGGGAAGAGGTACAAATTCTGCGTGCGCTTGTTGCCGATGGGCGGGTGCTGGAACAACGACAACCGACGGGTGCGAATGGCCAGAAGGTTGAACCACTGCATGACGACAAGGTTGACAAAGTAGATTGAACTGGCGACATTGAGCTTCTGCTGATAGTAGTCCGGGTCGATCGATGACGGCAAGTTGCCAAAGGAGAACCAAATATCGCTGAACTTGATGCCGTTGCGCTCCAGGTACCAGTAGGACATGGCAAACGAAGACAGAGTCTCCAAGACACCCACCAGGCCGTAAGACTGCACGACGAGCTGCCAGTCAACGAGGCGGTCCTTTCCGGGCACACGCGGCTTGCGAAGAAGCACGTCGGCCTCGGGCGCTTCGTAGGCCATGGCGATGGCGGCAGCGGCGTCGGTGAAGAGACAGATGATGATCATGAGGAAACTGCTGAGGATCTGGGGAATGCCGAAGAGAACGTTGGTCATGACTGGCCAGAACTCGGAGAAACTACCAGCTGGGAGGAGATAGGCGACGGTCTTCTTGAGGTTGTCAAACATCATGCGTCCATATCGCAGGGCCTCGACGACGCTGGAGAAGGAGTCAAGCAGAACCATGTCGGCGGCCTCGATGGCGATATCGCTTCCGGAACCGAGGGCGATACCAACATCAGCGGCGCGAAGAGATGGTGCATCGTTGACGCCGTCACCGGTCATGCCTACGATCTCGTGACGGGACTGGAGTTCGCGGACGATGCGGAGTTTCTGCTCCGGCGTCGTGCGAGCGAAGACAATTTCCTGATATTGAGCCAGCTGGTCCCACTGCTCTTCGTTGAGGGTCATCAATTCGGGGCCAGAGAGGACGAGGGCTTGACGCGGGGAGGACTCGAGGTCGTCCACGATGTGTTTGATCGAGGGGTCGACGTGGTTGACGCGCTGAAGAGCTGAGATGTCGTCGACTTGCGAGCGGGGAACACTGATGATATTGCATTCGGCTGCGATGGCCTGAGCAGTAAGAGCGAAGTCACCAGTAACCTTCACGTTGTTAGTCTTCTGCGTAACCTAGAAGTGCAACAGATTACCGGGAGAAGCTTACCATGAAGATGCGGATGCCTGCACCACGGAGGGTGTTCATAACCTCGGGGATCTCGGGACGAGGAGGATCGACAATTCCGACAAGACCGACGAGCGTAAGGCCGGATTTCGCCTGGTTATTGATTTCCATCTCGTACGCGCTGTCAGACGGGTGACCCTTGAGGGCAGATCTTGAGATGGCCTTGCGAGCGAGCAGCAGCACACGACGCCCCTGAGCTGACCATTCGTCCTTGATCTGCTCGATGGATGCGCGAGTTGAAGGGTCCAGAGCGGTAGTGTATCCGGCAGGGTTGACGTAGTTGCTCAGTCTCGGCATGAGCACATCAGGAGCACCCTTGATGGTCAACAAGCTGGTTGCCCTGTTAGATTATGCCCTTTCTTTGAAATCGTGTTCGACATGGAAACTTACACATCGCCCGGCTGGAAGACTGAAGCAGTATCGGAAGGCAAAGCAAGCGACAGTCCATCCGGGTGTGACATGCCGAGAACGCGAATCATGTACTTGTTCTTGCTATTGAAGGCAAGTTCGTACTTCGTCTGCCAGCAACGGCGCAGCTCAGCGGTCTGCCCCAGGCTCTCAGAGAAGCGCAGGATGGCCTGGTCCGTGGCATCACCGTGGATGACGCGCTCGTGGAGCGGCAAGCGGACGGTGGCGGCATCGAACTGGCCGGCGTTGCAGAGACCGGCGAGCGCACGAAGCTGCTCCAGGGAGTTGTTATTGGGATGGTTGTGTCTGTCGACTGCGATCTTATCCCGAGCACCATCGGCCGTCATCTTCATGGTACCGATGGCACACTCGGTCACAATCATCTTGTTCTGCAAGGTGATTGGTTAGTTGTCATACTATAACGAACTAGGTATGGATAATTATGCAACTTACCTGGGTCAGTGTACCCGTCTTGTCGGAACAAATAATCGAGACAGACCCAAGTGTTTCCACAGTCTTGAGCGACTTGCACAGAATCTTGTTCTTCCGCATCATGTTGGCGCTGATGGTCATGCTGGCAGTCAAAGCAACAGGTAAACCCTCAGGAATGAATGCCACAGCGACAGAGACGCAAGAGATGATCAGATTGGGAACGTTGATCCAGTTAGGATACTGTTTCCTAAGCCATGCACCCCTGTCAATGGAAATTAGGAGTTAGCGTTTACCCTTTGTACAAAACATGTATCTGGCCTGATGGCTTACCAAACAATCAAGACAAGCACAATCATGAGGAACATGATGGAGCAGATGATCAGCACAAAGTGCAAAACTTCGCGTTCCAGAGTTGTCAGCCCTTTTTTGGGCTCGTTGGTTAGCTTGGCGATGCGTCCGAAAATAGTGTTGTCACCGGTGGCTACGACAACACCAGTGCAAGTGCCCGAGACACAATGTGTGCCTTGAAGACCGATGCATCGAGTCTCGAGGTAGTTGTTATCGGTCGAGTCAACAGAAGCGGGCAAAGGGACAGACTCTCCTGTTGTTTTGTACTTTGTCAGTGATTATTTCCAACTTGAAAATGGAAGGGAACCACAAGTGCTTGACGTGACGAAAGCCATAAACAGAAAACAACTTACCAGTCAAGATGGCTCTGTCAAACTTTGCATCAGAAGAGACCTTGAGGAAACGCACATCAGCAGGCAATTTATTGCCTGACTTGACAATGAGAATGTCACCAGGGACAATGTTCTCGGCCATGAGCTCAACCTGGTTGCCATCACGGATAACCATGCAGTTCTCAGGCAACATAGTCTTGATGGAGTTCATCACGCGCGAGGAAGACCAGTCCTGCCACATGTTGAAGGCAGCCTGGATGAAGAAGACGGCAAGCAGCACGATGGCCAGCGCCAAGTTAGCCACGGCGGGCGGGCTTCCTAGGGGCTTCCATGCGATGAAGACGAGGATGGAAGCCACGAGGAGGACTGTACCGAAGCCCTTGAAGAAGTATCCGAGAATGCGTTTTGTGTGGTTTGTCGGGGCCGGCGAGGGCGCGTTCTTGCCATAGTGTGCTGTGCGGCGCTGGACTTGGTCCGCGGAT